GGAGAGAAGGAGAGAAGGAGAGAAGGAGAGAAGGAGAGAAGGAGAGAGAGAGAGAGAGAGGCGGGGAGGGAGGGAGAGAGGGAGGGAGGGAGGAGGAAGAAGAACTGTCACCGGCCCCTTTCAGTGCCACCGCTCTGCGGGCTGAGTTTTTGGAGTTGGAGTACGATGAGATGCCGCGCGACGAGTTCGGCGTGCCGGCGCACATCCCGCCGGAGATCTCCACCACGATCCGTCACACCTACTACATCCCGCCCCAGTACTACCCCTTCCTGAAGAAGCTGGGCGATGACACCCCTGAGTTGAAGCCCTGGATGGACAAGTTGATGAACGGGGAGATGACCTTCGATGATTATGAGGAGAGTTCGGTAGGTGGTTCTCAGTGTGTTAACATGTCTCCACAGGCTTTTCACAGCTCAAGCGCCTTATGCCACGAATTGTGGTTAGCATTTTCCAGAACTCTGTTGCGAGGAGATGTTCTACCAGTTCGCCAAGCCCTTGAAGATCCATCGGCCCCTCATTCCAATGCCCTACCGTTCGGCCGAGGAGATGAAGAAGAGCGAGGACCGTCGGAGCAATCTGTTCAAACATCGGACGATGGACCGTCGGCAGTGACTTGGGGAGCGGTTGAGGGAGTCTCGTTTGAACCAGAGCTCCTTAGAATTGGATGAACTCGTTTGGCTGATCCCTTTAGTCGGTGGGTAGTGTGGGTACCTAGTACAATGGGTGTGGCACGCACATTTTCTGGATGGCCGTGGCTTCCTTGGTTCTCTCGTTATTTCGGGCTCGTCATCGGTGCTGAAGGTCGTACCATAAGATGGTCGTGTTGGGCACAGCTCTAACCCTTGCAGGAAGTGGCGTGGGAAGGCGCCTGGCTATCCTTCCGCCAGCGTGTCTTGGGAGACTACACTTCCAGGCTGGGAAACAATGATGAAACTAGTAACCAGAAGCTACTAGTAACAAAGGGCATCTCTACTAGGAGCAAGAAGCTACTAGTATATAGCTCCTGCAATTACTACTAGGCACAAGAAGCTACTAGTAGTGTCTCCACAGAAGTGGTGCACACTGGATGAATTCGACCCTACTCGCTGCTGGCGAGTCATTGGTAAATTTGGTACACGGCTTTCAGGAGTCACTTCCCAACTGAACACCTGCATGTAAATTTTCCAAACCCCAATCAGTAAAACACATTCATTGCGTTCCTACACTTCTGGTAGGTGATTTTTGTGCTTGGCCAGCGGCATGCTCCCAGGCACTACTTCCGCGACTTCGTTGGTGGCATGGGTGTTGGAATCTTTCTGGCCTGGATCTATGTGCAGGTGCAGGGAGCAGAATTCTATCGATCCGACCCTTGCACCCATGGTCCATGGTGGTAAAATGGGTCTATAATTAAGTGCGAGTTCTGGGCTGCTCTTGATTGCATCATTAGGTGGGGAAATGCACAATCATATAGAATTTACAAGGATTCAATCTGAATCCATGCAGGCGCATCGCCAGTACCGCATTGACATGAAGCTCTTCTATTTGGAGGCTCCTGAGCTATTCTTTGCAGTGGAAGCAGTTCCAAGACGAGTTAAATGTTGGGCCCGGGATTGGGACGGACTTTAGGTCCCTGGAAGGGGCCACTCACGGATATATCATCGGTCAGATGTTTCTGATGCATTTATTCTATGTATGCATGCAATGACCGGCACATGTTCCAGAGCCCACAACGAATTCTTTCAGCTGCGCAGCATACCCGCACAGTTGGGACCTAGTGACCCCCTCTTTTTGAATTGCACTTATACAGGGTTGAGTTTTCAAAGGCCTTGCATATATGTGAAAGACATGCATGAGAACCAAATGAGAGATCTTGCGAGTTTGAACAGCTCACCTACTTTCTGTTCTCATGCATGAGAACCCCTAGAATATCGACGGTGATGTTAGAGCAGACGGCACAACACCCTAGACCATTTGCAGAACAGAATGGGATCCATCTAAATTTCTTGGGTGAGAGTTGGCAGAGGGCCGCTACCGTAGCAGCCCACCAACCCTTCAACTGTTCATCATGAAGCTTTCGAAGCCTTCCCTAGCCCTACACAATTGATGTGAACAGTTGTCCAATCATTTCGGAGCCCCTGCGCCCAGGCGCCGGAACACAAGATCAATTGGGTCACCCCTCGTGGTGATCTCTGAGCGAAGAAAGACCTGACATCGCCCGACCCCGTCCCGACCCCGTCCGCTTCAGCATCATCAGCCTTTCCAAGACGGTCCACAAACAGTTTATTTTAGTATATTATATATATAATATATAATATATATAATATTACGTCTATATATTAGTGTATATATTAGGTTGGAGGCCATCGCTCTGAGGTTGGAGGCCATCGCTATTAGTTTATATTAGTATATAATACTAAGTTTGTGGGTGCTAACCTTCCATCACGAAAGGCTTTTCTCAGGAGAAGGGCGTGTTCCGATGATGAGGAACAGGTGATGTAGATCGATCCCAGGTTCACCCAGAATCAATATCTAGATTCTAGATGGATCGGACGGACAAGGGTGGCTGGTCGTTTTGTGGATGCCCGACTTCTGCTGGGGTGGCCGTTCTTAAGTTGACAAGTGGACTTGCATGGAGAGTGCCCTTACATCTGGTTTTGGAGAACAAGACTGGCCGTCGAAGCGGCAACGCAGACGGCACCCTTGCCGGGCAGACGAGGCCACGAGGTTGAGGTCTCATGTTGGAGTGGGACCATGGATCGGAGATGTGGCGGATGGAAGAAATCCGGTTGGAAGCATGATGCAACCTCCACCAGCAAAACCATGCAAAACACCGATGTGTTTGAGGTCCTCGATTTCCGGTCCTGTCGGGTTTCTTCCTTCGAGTAGCAATGATTTGGATCCTTTGCACATTTCCGGCAGAGCAAAGAAAAATCTGCGCCCACAGCTGTTCCTGGGCGCCTTGCTTTGTTTGCCCCGGCGGCCTCGGGGTGTTTGACCCACCCACCGCGACCTCGGGGGCCTCGGCGGCCTTGGCGCTTGGCCGCGCCAGGAACGCCCCAGGCCCTCCTATCGATCCTCGGGCTCTCGATCTTTGGCAGACTTGCCGACGGCGGCCGCGGCGGCCACTGGTGCATCGGTGGCCCCGGCATAGACTGAGAGACTGAGACTGAAGTGACTAATTGCAGCCTGCACCCCAAAAGGAACGGCAGGTGTGAACATCCTGAGTAGTAAAAACCATAGTAAACCATACTGCTCTTGATTGTGGTGTTCAGTGCTCATTGTACTTCCAGTTCTTGAAACACCCTCAGAATATCCCTCACGTGGGTGGAGCATGAAAAGTTGTGGCACAACGACCTGTGTTGTGAACCCGCTCCGTTGAGCCCATCCCCAACGTGAGTTTTGGCCAGGAGAAGTGGAAGGGTGAACAATTTGATGATTTTGGCCTTGCCGGCATGTGAGAACTCGGCAAGATTGCAGCTGGAACCCCCAGCTGAGCCTTTCCAGTGACCTGAAGGGCTACTGGATGGGCCAATTGTCCCGCCGGAATCCTGGGAATTCCTCGGTCAGCACGGCCGACTGCGGCTTGTGCTGACCTGCTGGCAAAGGCCCCAAAGGGGCATCCGACGTCAGCGTCCGAGGCCGATCACGCGTCCCAAAGTCCGACCGAGACGCGAGCGGGCTGTGATCGTGTGTGATGCGCAGTAGGTCAGGGTGATCGGGGTGTGAGCATGAATCGTGCCAGCAATATGAGAGCACCAATCACATGCGTCTTTTTGACAGTTCTCCATATTTTACATTGATATTCCTCGCAGTTTGGCATTCTCCAGGTCGTCTTCAGGCATCTACTCATAGTGGAAGTCGCATCCACCAGTGGCGAGTATGTAAAATAGCTTGGGGGAGCTTAGGGGGCTTTGCTGTTTGTTTGAACTTTGTGTGCAACATCCAATATAAACCCCCGGTGCCTGGTGCCATGATTATTATTCCTTCTTTTTTATTCGATTCTTGGCCAGTGCCCGAGGTCCTTGGATCTCATGAACGCCGCTGCGACATGCTCAAGATACAATCAAAAGAGATCAAATGAGGACAACAAGATTGCAAATGGAGCGCATGGGCCATATGGATGTTATATGGATTTATAATATATATATATATATTATTCTTTTCTTTTCGTGTGGCATCTCCTAGAGCAATACAGGCAATGGCAAACAGCCCGCCCGTGGTGATGTGGCCCAAATGGGAGGGCCGGCAGCAGGATGTTGAAGGATGTTGAAGGTCCCCTTCGACAAAGGCAACCCTGGGCCTTGGTCAAGCTGTTTTGGGCGTGAGCTTGACGGGTAGCAGTGCCATGACCCACATCAAAAGATCATTTTGGAAGACTCCGATCTCCATGCAAACACTACCATCTTGCAGACAACAAGACACGATAAGACGTGTTTGTCCAAAATGTCATCGTCAGGTCAGGGGGTCGCGGTTCGGGCTCAACATCCTGAGCATCTGGTGCCAAGTTGCATGGTGACCCCCCAAAGGAACCCCTGACGGTCGCCAGTTCTTCCATTCCTTTTTTGCAGTTGCACTTGGGTGACACCCCGCACGTGGGGCCTGGTAGATTCGAGGCAAAGGGAACCTTTGGGGCTGACTCTGCAAACGCCTTAGGTGAACCTTACGGGGAATCTGTGGCTTACCAGCGACTTGGCTTTTGATGATCCCGCAGGCGCATCATGAGCAACACCTTTTAGTTCTGGGGCACATACAGTAAGTGCTTTTGAATATTTTTGAATATTGATGCTACGTAAGTCAAGTGCCTTGGGACTCTTTCAGTGTACAGTAGGAAACTTGATCCAAAGGTCTCTTTCCATCTCTTTCCCGCGCTTTGGATCAGTGACACTTCGTTGCAGTTTGGGCCCATGCCTTTTTCTTTATTGAGACCCTGTGAACTGGCTTCTCCAATCCACCAAAGACGTGTTTTTTTCCTTTGCGCTTCCTTTGTCCAGTGCGTTTGACCGTGCAGCGGACAGAAAGCGGGTCTTCTCTTTGGCATGTGACTGGTTGATAACGTCGCTGAGGCCCCTCGCTTTTCCCGACGAAAGTTGGATGCGTCGGTTTCGGGTTTCTTCGGTGTCCTTCCCAGCCGAAGCAGCCCGACGATTTGCCGGTGATTTTGCCACCAAAGGTGAGGCCCAATCACTCCTTCATGCACCCATGTTGGATTTGCATCTTATGTAGAGTTTGGCTAGAATGCTAGAACGTTCCGACCCTTACATATTGTGGTTCCTGGGTTTGTGTCCTTTTCATTCAGTTTGCAAGCCGGTTGCCCTTAGGGCCGGTGCGTCCACTCTGCTGGGTCTGGCGCGTTCCTGCTAGCCTCGCAGAGCTTTGGTGATCTTTGGTGTAAGCTGGCCAGATACCTGAACCTGTACATATTCATATACCGCTCTGCACCGTGACCGAATCGAGCTGCGGCAACTCAGGGCAAGAGGAGAGCGACGTATGCAGGGCCTTGGCTCAGGCGAGGCTGCGAGCTTGGTTTGAGGCACCGAGCTTCGATTCTTTTTTGTGTCAGAGCCATCCGTCGAGGCCAACCAAGGGTTACCTTACCGATGGGAGCTGGCGCGAATCCACACCGCGACCCTTGGCCTTGGCAAAGGGTGCTTGAAGTGACAAAGGATCTAGTTTGTGAGTAGTGGAAGGTTTTTTCAATGATTCTTACTTGGAAGTAGCTGACAGCTGGATGATTTGAACGTTTGACGCATGGCGTGCCACGCATGGTGTCGGGTTTGCAGATGGCCGTGATCCAACTTTGAAAGCTTCCTGAGGCCCATCACATCAGCCTTCCACAGCAAGAAGATTGGGAAATTTGGGAAGAACATGCCCCCTGCGGACTGGGAGAATGAGCCCGAGCCATCCCATGAGCCATCTCCCTCGTTGGATTCGGCTTGCCCCTCCACCTTTGGCCGGAAGGACCAGGACGGAACCTGAGGGGGGCAGGAGTGAACAGGCTGCAGTAGGTCAGTAGGTAAGAATGCCAGCGAAGCCTCGTGGAATTGCCGGGGCTGTAGACTTGAGCAATTCGTTGGATCTTTGCAAGTTGGTGGCCTTTGGAACTCCCAAATCACGAAGGGTTGCCTCAGCAACCTTGAGTTCAATTGGCCTCATCTTAGGGCCTGAATCTTCTCCCTGGACCCCCCCTTTGCTCAAGTCTTCCCAACTTGTTCCGGGACGACCCGGACCGCGCCGTCTTCGCCACTTCGCTGCGAGGTGCGAAGACCCAAGGGGATGATTGGTCCGAGGGCGGCGTCGAAGCTTCCACTTGAGGCTGATCCAGAGATGGCCATGGGGGTGGGGCACTGTCCAAATTTTTGCTAGGGGGACACTGGACACTGAACATCTGTAACATCTGTAGATGACCATGAAGATGGTGCGGAATTGGAGTGCCACTTGGCAACGCTGTCAGATCTCTCAGCTGAGAGTTCGAGTTTTCAGCGGTCCCGCTCGAGCCGTTTTTTTGGACCCCACTGCCGCTCCACCCTCTCAAGGCCTTCAGCAAAGCTCCGCGAAACGGATCGGACATGCAGGAGACTGAGGGAGTCACGAAGACAGATGCAACGGTCGAGACGTACTGGTCGTGT